AATTTTTTATTTAATACTCTGACGGTATTTATTAAGAACAATTTTAACATTATTTATTTATTGTTATTTTAACAACATTAATATTTAACTGTATTGATATTTACTACCAAATTATTAATTTATAAAAAAATACTTCTATTTTAATTAGTATAATCTTGTATTTGTTTGTATAAACAAACAAAAAGTTACAGCAAATTACAAATTTGAGGTTGTTGGTACGACAAAAATAGATATAAAAACTGAAGTTGTTAAAGTTGTAGAAAACCAAAGTTGAAAATACGACAAAAATATTCCAACACAAAATAAAATCCTTGAGGGATTTCTGGCCGAAACAACAGTCTTAAAGAACATAAGTAACCTATACCTATAGAACTGACAAGCAAAAAATTAGGTTCAAATAGGTAAAATAGATAAAAAAAACTTTGGCTGAACGGACATCTCGATTTGCTTTGCAAATAATTCGTAAAGCAATTTTTAAATCATGTCTAGATTCTTTGATGACTGTGATGTGATCCATATACAAAAATTGCACTTGGGTACTTATGCTGAGGTCTTACTCATGAAATAATACTAAAATATAAAAGCCTATCTCTAAAAGTCCCTAGTGTGGTACCGACAAGCATGGTATCTAGTGAGTTCTCGAAAGAACTCAATAGATACCATGACATTTTTTTAAATATTATCTAAATCTAAACGGTTAGATGCTAGTCAAGGGTTAATCCTAACAATTCAACTGTTTTGACTGGATTGATTATACAATCGTCTATTACTCTCTGTAAATTATCTGGCAGTTTTTTTTAAGGTTCTTAAATAAACTGTGTCTTTAGTGAGTTTGTTGTGAGGCCATAAGACGTACAGAAGTCTTTGGTTTTATCTGTACCAATTTGGTTCAAAGTGCATTGTGTGAGAATTAGAGCAAGTTAGAAGATCTTTAATGTAAATATCAATTTATTAAAGTATAGACTAAGTCCACTTCCCTGAGGATGTTTGCATGACACTGGTTTCCACTGGATTAATTGATTAGCCTGTATTACTCGCCGCTCCCTATTGGATAAATAGCTGTTGAACCATAATATTGTGCTGAAGCTACAGCCTATTTTGAGTAGTTCGTTCATAAGATATTGGTGTGAATCGGAGTCATATGCCTTAGGTCAATCATAATAGCACCTGGAAATTTACCATTTACAATTGGATGCTATGCATCTAATTTTTACTTAATATTCGTGCGGTTCATAAAATAGTCGTGTAGTTTATAAAACGTAATCACAAAACATATAGCAAAACTGTTAGGTGAATGAGGGATGTCCATAAGCTCTACTTTAATCTCTTCCCATAAGTATTAAATAGTATTAAATTTAAAAATTTGAGCATTTTAGTTGCCAAAACTAAAATGTTCAAGGTTTTGTTTAAATATAATCTTCCATATTAATGGAGAGATTGTCTAAATCATATTTAGTGCTTGAATATAATCTTTCATGTTAACGGAGAGAATGTCTAAATATATCCTTGAATTTTAGTTAACGCACCTCATGCGCCGACGTAAAAAAGTGTTTGAATACCGTTCATGAAGGCATTTTAGTTTAAAAATGTTCTCTTATGATTTTGTTCGCATTATTTTGTTTAGTAAAGAAATAATTTTAATTTTTCCCCACACTAATAAACATCGTTTAAGAAATCAAAAAATAAATAATGGTACAGTTTTCAAGGTAAAAAAGTGCCTAAATTTAGCCAACATACCAATCGATTGACTTAATCTTGACTGTAAATAAAAGTGTTAGTATTTAAAAAAAAAAGATTTTCATCCAGCCTTGTTCAGAGTAACCTTACTGACAATGAAGAAGGTAATATCTCTCTATTAACATAAAAATTTAATTGCTTATTAATTTCTTGGTTTTTGGTTTTAAAGGCTACTTTTTATGTTTTTAGCTTTGAGTGGGGTTCTATTAGCATGGAGTGGGATTTTATTAGCTCGTAGACAGTCGAGAACTAATGATATGACCTCATTGGTTTTATTACAACCATTGTCGACAGTCATTAATTATAAGCAAATTAGTATCATCAGTAATTTCAGTTAAAGCTACAAATCAAAGTCTACGGATTAAATAAGATTCAAATCAGGAACTCCATAATATGCTGATTGAGATACAATGGTTTACAGTGAGGATATAATGGTTTACAGTGCCAAAAGCTTTCTGCAAGTCAATAATACACCACAAGCAAATTTTATATATTTTTATATATATTATATAATATATATATATATATATTATATATATATATATATATATATATATATATATATATATACTTATATATAAATATATATATATATATATATATTTATATATATATATATATATATATATATATATACTTATATATAAATATATATATATATATATATATATATATATATATATATATATATATATTTATATTTATATACTTATGTATAAATATATATATATATATTTATATATATATATATATATATATATATATATATATATATATATATATATATATATATATTTTTATATATATATTATATATAATATTTTTTAAAATATATATATATTATATATTTTATATAATTTTATATATTTTTTCTATTTTTTGATTATATATATATATATATATATATATATATATATATATTGATTTTGTATTTTTTTTTTTTTTTTTTTAGTGCCATTAGAGGAATGGCACTAAAAAAAAAACCTTATCCTTCGATTCATTCATAGAGGAATCGAAGGATAAGGTAAAGCGGAAGAGTAAGATGTTTAGAAATGGTTACAAGATGTTTTTTATTTAAGAGAAGAAATTTATAATAAAATATCAGAAAAAAAAAAAATACAGGACTTTTAAACCAAAAACCACATAACGTACGCTACAGAAAAACATTTTAATATGGAAATTGTAATTCATAAAATAAAGTCTGGCAGTGATTGTTTATTCCCTATGAATGTCATGTGTTGTTCAATCATCATATGGATCAATCAATATAATTTTTTCCTTGATTAGTTTATTATTTCAGTTAAATGTATTAAAATTGTTTATTTCATTTTCATGTTTATTTCAAACACACAGTGGCGGATTAAGGGAGGGGGCTACTTTTTGTATTATTTTTTCATTATTCATTATTCACCTCCCCAATGCCCGAGGGGCTACTACAGTCAAGGAGGCTACTCTTTTTTTTTTTTTTTTTTTTTTTTTTTAAATCGTGGTACAACCCTCTCAACTCTTTAACTCCAAAACACAAACCTTACAAGCAAGATGGTAATCGAGCTCCGAACCTCTCACATACAAAGCGAGCGCTCTTACCACTACAACACTGCCGCATATTGACCCGAGCCCCACAATTTAGGGTATTTAAAATATTATGAAGGACTTTTTACTTTTACTTTTTACTATTTTTAGCCTCTGACACATAAAAAAAAATCCAAAAAAATTAATAGCCCCAGACCCCAAGAAGTATTAATCTGCCAGTGCCAACACCTTTTGTGAAGGGGCGTTAGAATAGTATACGACCGTCGTTTTTATTATTCTTAAAAATCCCCTAGTTTATTGAAATCAGAGTACCCTTTTTTTTGGTGAACCCAAATACAGCAGTGTGAATATTTTTTTAAGGGGACAGGGGGAACCCTATTTGGTCAACTAAAATAAAAAGTCGTCGGTTTCTTTGATCTATTATATATATCTATGATATCTGATATATATAAAAATTCGTTGGTGAGACAAAGTTCAGGTTCGGTTTCCTTGAATTTTAAAATTTATTAACGTGCCCCCCCCCCTTCCCGCCCTCCCCCAGATATGCGAAATTCTGTCGAAATTTTGACGAAAAACTCAAAAAATATGGCTTCGGTCGGTTAAAACTGAAATATGGCTTCTAAAAAAAAACATCTTGACGTTAAATTTAGCTTTTTTCATTTTCATTGGGCGACTGATTTGCCATAATGTCATCATTAATGACAAATAATGCTTTTAACATTTTGTGGTTATGAAAATAACCTTTTTTTTAAATCAATTAATGTAAAAATGAAGAGCTTAATGTTGGCTTTTAATTTAAATTAACGACTTTCTTTTTCTTTTTGGTAAAGGATTATTTTTAATATCTATGATATTATTGCTGTTAGATTGAATTGGACTGCGACTTGATTGTATTGTCGTTGTAGCCAAAATCTCTGATAGACGGATTATCTTTTCTGCGACCAATTGCACGTTGTCAAAATTCTGCTGTTCCAGCAGAATTTTGACAACGTTCTGGTGGTCCAAACTGCTTTAAAACATTTCCGACTGTTTCGCTCAATACTTGAGATGCAAGACGTACTCTCATTACAGAATACGGTGTTAAGTTTATATGATCGCTTGTTAGTTTAGGAATAAGTTTCAAACCTCATTCTAAATCGGAATTATAAAATGTTGTAATATGATTCCAAAGTTCCATAATTAACAAATTATACACATCTAAAAAAGTTTATCTTCTTGGCGTCGGAAGGTGCCAAGAAAAAGACCTCATTTAGAAATCAATAGAAAAGAGGAAGCATTTTCTTTATTTTTTATAGGTTTAAACATAGGAGAATTATTTAAATAAAATAGCAGTATTGTGCAACAGAATATATTAATTAAATTAAGAGTTAAATGAATTAAGTTAAATTAAGTTAAATAAATTAAGTCATCAGCAGATTTATCTCCAAACTCCATATTATTTTCACCTTCCTCTTTTTCCTCTGTTTCTTGAGCTTTCTCCTCTGTTCTTGGCGTTGTTGCCTACGCAACCCCCCGATTTGATCAGGGGCGTTCTTCAGCTTTCTCTGAATAAAATTAACTATTTCTCGTCGAGAAGTCTTTTTATACGAGCTGGCTGCAACTTCTAAAAAATGAGTGAACATGAAAAACAGTCACTTTTATTGTAATATGAAATAGCAAATGAAATTTTATCAGCTGAGTGAAACACATTAGACTTACCGACTATTAATTCAAAAACGACTGATCCTTTTAACCCCCTCTTATTTCCACCGCGGTCTTTTCTATTTGTCCCCACTAAGTTAAATTGGGACAGAAGTCCAACGGTAAACAGTCTAGAAATATAATAAATGATTATGCTAAAGAAATTTATTATTATCAAAATGAATGTACAACGATGTATTATATTATGTAGTACTTATAGCAAACTAAGCATTTGCACCTCTCAGATTTGCTATGAAAAACAAGTTATCAAAACAGACCTTGATATTTTTCTTGTATTCTATGACGTAACTTTTTAATTTAATTTCGTTGAAATTAAGTGTTGTAGACCCATAACAATTTAAAAGTTCGTTATTGACTACAACGAAAAGATAATTCAGCTAATACACCTTAAAAGTTGTTATTTATTTAAACTAGATAAACCTATTGTTCAAAGCTCAATTTTAACCTGAAATATAATGATGCTTTACCTAACAACATAAAGTTATAAAAACAGGCGATATCATTATCAACACAGATGAATCACACATGAACAAAAATAAAGACTAGAAAGCTGCAATGTTGTTTAGCTAAAAGAAAGTGTACCTTTCCAGTATCATTTTTACTTGGTCTTTCGCATCCAAACCACGGACTTGACGTAAAGATTTTCTCTGAAAGATAACACAATAATAAATACTACAGCAACGATGCACGTAGGACAATTTTAGCTGGCCAAAATTATTTCTCTCTTTTTTTAACAGCTGAAAACTTTACCATATGACAAGAAATTGTAAATTAAATGTTTTTTGTACAAATCTAAGCCAGTGGCGTTCAACATAGGGGAAAGATGGGTACTTTAGGGATTACATTTTATTCTATTCAATAGGGTTTGAGGAAATAAAAGATATATATTATTTTTCAAAATTTATTATGGTAAATAACATACTATATTTTGATATTTAATTTGATTCCACTTCGTCATTGTCAGAATATTCTTCATTTTCGTTGTTTTCAGTGTCGGAATCTTGGACTTCTCCAGGAAGAAGCAATTCCACAGCTTCTTTTGAAAAGGGCTTTGTAAGTTTGTGTTTCTTTTTCTAAATGCTGGACATTAGAGGGTTGGATGTTAACAATAACCTATTAATGATATCTTGGTTACAATCTTTTCTAGAAAATTTTCTAGCATAGCTAAGTCTGTACTCCCGGAAATGTTTGTTTTTGGCTTCGGCAGCCTCTTCCGACAATTGTCCAATTAGCAAAAGAGCATTCTCAACTATATCAGGACCATGAACTAAAACTTTATGCAGAGGTGGAGTCATTGGACACCAGGGGTATAGTTCAACATAAAGCTTTGCAGTATCCAAAGTATACTGTCTGAACTTTTCTACATCAATCTTGTGGCCACTGGAAATTACTTCTAGAATAATTTTCATTCTGGAAATTAAACGGAAGTCTACTCCAGTTATATCTGCAGATGTTTCCGGGTCGTTGAAGAATCTCCTGCTTGTATTGCTGTTATTGGTATTCCCAAATCCAACCGTGTCGACAATCCAGGTGTGTCGACAAGGATGCCCATTTTGCTCTTAAATTCATCTTGGATTTTCTTTTTCCTATCTGAGATGAGTCTCTTCTCATCTTTATTCAGCCTTTTCTGACATTTTTTTACAGGCAATTTATATGATAGGTGAAGGAGACTTTCAAAACACCGTATTCTAGCATGCAGAATGGATAGTCCAAATTTGTAGCTGCTTTGATTGTCAACACATATTCTGTCCAAATCATTAAATTGTCTTGATGTTGCTCCACAAATGTAACATCGCATGGTCGATTTAGTGGTGGTTGCTGCGTTACAGACTTTTCCGTCAATCATAGTTAACATCATCACATGTTCTACTGCTATGTCTTGAAGTTGAGTTGGTTTCAAGCCTGCAATTTTGTTTTTCATGTAAGCAATTTCTTCAGCTATTACATCAGCAGTTTCTTTTATGAACCTAATTCGAATTGGCCAGCAAAACCTTGGAGACAATGGTGTAGGGTTTTGCCAGATAATCTTTTTATTTACTCCACAAGTTAGCTGTAATGGAACCATTGAGCATTAAAATATACTGGCCTCAGAATTAGAGTCATCCTCAAACTTTTGATTAAACTGTGTCTGCTGGGAGCCATCACAACCCCATTTCGTAGATAATTTCATATGATTACGCCCACTTTCCATTAGAGTCTTGATAACTTCTTCTAAATACAACACCAATCTTTCGGCAGTATGGTTTAACAGACTTTGTAAGTCTACTTCAGCTAAACTTTCTGTGACTGTGAACGAATCAGGATCAGGATAGCATTTTTTTTTCTTCGACCAAAATACTGTAGCAGGGCCATTGCTTCTTGTCACTTGTACGTACGATTTCATTTTGAGATTTTGTTAGGCCTGCGTCAGTAAATATTAAAAGAGCCTCTAATGGTGTCAATGATTTTTTTGTAGGTTCAAGACTGCTGCGATAGGCTTTTTTATACTTTCCCGCTCGTTTGGGAGATGTTTTAAGATCTATGAGGACGGTTGCAGCACTTCTTTTGCCACTTGTTGTCAAACAAGTTTCAGCTGCTGATGATGGAGTGGATGGGGTAACCGGTATTTGGAAACTCCCTTGCAGCCAAGGGCTATGCTTCTTAATAAATATTTCATGAGTTCTGGATGAAGACGACCACATTTTTCTAAAAATAGCTTTTAACCTCGACATTTGACGCTTGTATACTGTTTTTAGTTCTTCGGTATATTGATTTCTTGATAACAAATTTTGATCAGCTAAGTCCATTTTTTCATTGAAGTTTGGAGCCTCCTGCTGCTGAATAATGTTGTAGAATTCCAAACGAGAGATTGTTTGCATTCCTGATGACCCATCTAGAAAAAAAAAAATTAAGTTGAAAAATTCATCTTGGACCTTGATGTGCTTAGAACATGATTAAAATTTAGATGGCATCAACAGGCAGTTGATGCCATCTCTCTCTCTCTCTCTCTCTCTCTCTCTCTCTCTCTCTCTATATATATATATATATATATATATATATATATATATATATATATATATATATATATATATATATATATATATATACATATATATATATATATATATATATATATATATATATATATATATATATATATATATATATATATATATATATATATATATATATATATATATATATATATAACCCTTACCTTGATGACTATTATATTTTATATATATATATATATATATATATATATATATATATATATATATATATACATACATATATATATAACCCTGACCTTGATGTGCTTAGAACATGATTAAAATTTAGATGGCATCAACAGGCAGTTGAAATTAAGATTTTTAAATGGCTAGTGGTATAAACTCACAGAAAAACGAAAAAAACTAAAAGGGTTTCAATGCGCACTACAACTTTTTGAATTTTAAAGTCAAAATTTACTTTAAAAGTCGTTTAAAAAAATGCTAAGTTTCATGGTACATATTTTTTGTGGTACTTAATATTTCAAAACGGTAGTAAGAGTAAATAATGTACATACCTGTCATAGATTCATCCATGATATAACACTGTAAAACTTCTGTTGTAAACACTTGTACACAGCTCCAATAAACACCACTAAAATCGCTCGTAAATAAAATGAACCACGCAGATATAGATCGGATATTTAACTAGACTGTGTAGTTCCAATTACTACTTTTATAACCAAACCATTAACTGCTCATTAAGCGACCATTATCGAGAGATATTAAGGGTAAGTAATTAAGTGGGTACGGCCATTTAATAGTTCCAATTTTGGCCAGCTAAAATCATCAAATACTCCTACGTGCGATGTTTAAAAACAGCTTTTGGGTTATAGTGAGGTTCTCTCACCTTACTTATAAAATTTTATTACTAAAATCACAAGATATTGGAAAATGCATAACTTTTCAATCTTGATTACATATCAAAAACTAGACTTAAAAAAAATATAACAAATACCATGATTGAACGTTTCTGTTCGTCTAACAACTCTCTTTCAAAGGCATTAAAATCTTCCATCGTTGCCATCATTTTTATTGCATAGTTATCCTTTTCTTCTGTTGGCCAACGACAATTTACAACGTTTTCTTTTATCTCCCACATAAGAACAATTGACAGCTTCTGGTACTCTGAAACCGAATAAGGCGAATAATCTTGTGCAATTAAAAAATTTTGTTGAAGCCTTTATTTATTTTTTTAAATTCCATTGTGCTCCTTTCTAGCATTTAAAATAAGAAACCTATTCAACACATTTTACACAGAAATTATTTTTGAAAGGATTTTCATTTTCAAAGTTCAACTAAATAAGAATTCCATTGAATTTCTGTGAATAGAAAAACAAGAGTCAAAAAATAAATATCAAATCTTAGAAACTAGACCTCATAATAACCTTACCAGCATCGCTTAGTGGAAACCGTAGCTTCTCAAAGGGATCTAAATATGATTATATGTAGATATAAATTATCACTGAAAAGGATCAAGTTGTTTACAGAAATGTTATTAAACAATTTCTACTTATTTTAAGATTTCTATGCAGCATGGTAATATACTTTAAATATAAAAGTATTAATATATATCATTTGATTTGCTGCTATAAATTATTATACCTAAAACATGCGTCCTTTAACTTAGTGCTTATTTGATTAATCTAAATCGTTCACAATGTTGAATTTAAACAAAGATCTTATAAAAAAGCACTATCCTTGTGCCCTACAGCTGCAAAATGGTTAGATACGCTACACTAAAACTTGAGTCATTTAGTAGTTTTCTATGTTTTTTGTGTGTTAATTGACGCCTCTTTTCAGAAGTTCAAACTTGACAATGTACACATTTTGATAACTCAAATAAATACTGCTAATAATAATAATAATAAATAAATACTGCTAATAAAAATAAAGTTGATCCTTAGCAGCAACAGTTATATATATACATATACAATTATATATATATATATATATATATATATATATATATATATATATATATATATATATTATATATATATATATATATATATATATATATATATATATATATATATATATATATATATATATATATATATATATATATATATATATATATATATATATATATATATATATATTATATATATTCACATTTTGAGAAAACCTAAATTAAAGGTTTGAAACCTTTTTATTACAAATTATGTGAGAAACTGTCAATTCTTTTAATTTTTCAAGGGAAGGTCATCCATTTAAGCATCAAATTTTAACAAATAAATATTCTAAAAATCATGTTAGTTCATGGAAAATTTTGTTTTTTCAAAATGTGTTCAGATTGGACTCTGCTGTTTTTTCCGTTGATTAGGACTTTGCCTGTTTTTCTATTGTAACACATAAGAAATAACTATATAAAACCATTGAATTTTAAAAATTTTTTCATTTAAACAAATAAAAAATTAAAAATGCATGAACTGCATGAAAAAAGCATGTAAAAAAACATTCACTGGTCTTGACCCTCATCTTCAACTTTATCGTCATACGGCAGAGCATCATAGAATGGCTCATTGGTTGTAAATTTTTTGAGGACTTAGAGGTCTTTGAACTTTGCAGCTGATATAGCCAGTCTGTCTTCATACAAAGCTACTAGCACTGCTGTGCATACTGAAAAATTGTTTTTTCTCGTTGGAACAATGAGGTTTGTTTTCAAGAAAATACTGTTCCATGATTCTCTGTGACAAACGGTCCCTGGACCTTCATCCTTGTTAAAATTATTTCCCGAATGGGGCGCGTGGGGAACGGGCAACCTTTCTTATACAATGGCCTTAGAAAGCCGGAGAAGTTTTTGACCAGATCCTGTTTGACATCAGTCACGTTAAATGGTGTAGGATGTTTTCGTGCTTCACTAAATATTTTTATCCAGTCTTCTGGAACACTAGCACTAGACTTTGTATTTACTAGACCCATGTCCCTGTCACACTCCATATAAGAATGTCCGCGCTCAGGGAATGTCACTGTCACTGAGGTAAACCTTTTTCTATGGTGCACCATATAATCTAAAAACCGAATCAGGGTAAAGTTCTTATTCTGTCCTGAGCAGGAATCGCAGAATAGTTCAAGGTGAGTAACCTCTTCGCTGACCTTAGTTGTGATGTGGTCATACAGGAAAGAAGCCACCTCATCTGAACCTTTCCAAGCGACAGTCTCATCATAGCAGTAAAGAAAAACATCATCAGTTGATAGTTGGTGAATGTTAAATGATTGGTATGTGAGCTTTCTGTTGTAGTAAAAGTCATTGGTGGACTTGTTGGGTAGGTTGAGATTTTTTTGGTAGTCAAACGTAAAGGCCTCAAGATGAGGTGTAATCTTGGTCCTTCGCTTAGCGTCTCTTTTTCTCCGGTAAAATGTGTCAGCCTTTCGCTGGTGGAGATCTTTTTGAAATTTTAACTGCTTCAGGTCCCTTATGAGGACTTCATTTGTTGGGTCTGATTCAAGAGTCTTTGTAGCAATTTCTATTTTTGCCAAGAACTGGTCGCAGGCTGAGCAAGTGTCGGTTCTTGGGTACCCAAAGCCAATGTTAAAATCGTTGTTGAATATAAGCCTGTATGACTCATACACTAAATTGTCTCCTGGCCACTTCTCTTGATATAAATCAAACATCTTGGAGATGCTGAGTTCTTCTGGCAGGTACAGCCGTCTCGTCTTCTCTTGTGAGTAATGAGACTGCCGACCCCTAAACGAAGAGATGTGGTCTCTTATTCTCTGCCGCAGTTCATCAGATATTTTGTGATGACTGCCATGCTTTCCTCGTCCATCAACTGGAGGCAGGCCTGGGGTGAATAAAAAAAAAAAAAAAAATTAAAAAAAAGTTATAAAAATACATGTTCAGAGAATAACAGCACTCTTTATGAATTTCAACATTTCTTTTTAAATATTGAAAAATAATAATATATAGACAAGAAAGGATTATAGAAAAATGTGCATTTTTTTTACATGAACTATGATTAAAAAAAATAGCTTTTTAATTCCACAAACTGTAACAAAAAACTATTGCTAATAGTATAAATTACCTGTAGTAGCAAGACTTCTCTTGATAGTCTTAAGTCTCCCTTTCTTAATTCCAAAGATGGAGATGAAGGCTTGAAAGCAAACATAAGCAAATGAATCTGGGTCAACATCATCTGCACTCTTCAGGAATACTTTATAGTGATAGCTGTAACTGTTTGCACTTTTAGGCTCTTCCTTTCGAGGTCTTTTTCGGCTAATCTCGGCGACTGTGATCAGTAAAGCAAGATAGGAATCCTGTAAAAAGAAGCAATATAAGATTATTAACGCAACCGGTCACACATCTTTGGAAACAGAAGCATTTTTATAAAATTTAAAAATATATATCCCTACCTACTTTGTTAGAATTAATAAATTTCACTGCTTTGTGCTAGGACCTACTCAGAAAGTTGAACATAATAGAATGATCGATTTTATCAAGAATTGTCTATAGATAGTTGAACATAATGGAATTATCGATTTTATAAAGAAGTTTTTTTTTATTAGATAGACGTTTAGGCTTGTTGGTATGCTGCGTTCAAATAGAACAATGAACTGTGATATTGGGTCCACCCCACTAAAAAACTAAGTTAAAAATGCCTAGTAAACATACAATACCAGCCTTGGGTATCAAAACACAGTAATACAACCAGATGTCTACCATGGTTATGATTCAGATGTACAGGTATAGCTATTCTAGACCTAACTAAATTTGAATGAAAATGAGAATGAGAAACTCTTTGTCTTATTCAATCAACATGTTCATGGTGGAATAACAGGTGCATTAAAATTATGAATCTAGGTCTAGACCTAAATCTAGAGCTAGTATTATAAATAAAAAAATAGTCTAGAACTATATTTAAAGAGTTTAATTTAAAACTTAAATGAAGAACTCACCTGAGCATCCTTTGTTGATAACGCATTGAATGACTCGAGGAGTAAGGTTCTATTCTCTTCTTTGACTGTTTGAAAGCATTTAAGTCTTATACATTTACAGTCAGTGCCAGTTACATGAGATGACAACCTCTGTTTCTTTGCTATGTCTTTCTTACTGCCATTTTTCTTTCTCTTTTTTGGCTTGTCTGTAACAATAGGTGTAGCATCGTAGTCAGCCATTTTGTTTTAGTATAGATTCTTTGTGTACTGGTTACTCAAATGAGCTTGTGTACTGGAACTCAAATGAGCTTAATAAAAACACCCTATTTTGATCCTTATGAATTTAAAATCAAAAAAGATTTAAATTTACTTTTTATATTACACTTAAACATAAGAAGCATGCAGCAAAATTTTAAAAAGTTTAAAGAATTTCTATCTATTATAAATTAAACGTTCGACGTCATATCTCTGTCAGAGACTTGGCATGATTCAGAATGTCCTCTAGAGTTGAATTCTAATTATAGTTTGGCAAATTACAAACTAATTAGCCAACCACGAGGAAGCAATAAAAAAGGCGGAGGTGTAGGTGTTTACGTGCTCAAAAAGTATTAATTTAAAATTAAAAAGCTATTAAGTGTAGCAAATAATAATTATGAAAGTCTTTTTATTGAAGTAATTAATGCTAAAAACAAAAATAGTATAATTGGATGCGTGTACCGACCACCTAGTAGTAAAATTAGATCATTTCAAGATTTTATCGAAAAAAGTATTTTAAAAACAAGCAACGAGAAAAAAAATTTATTTATTCTTGGTGATATAAATTTTAACGCACTAACATACCAGAAATTTCCAAAAACAAAATCTTTTTTTGATATGTTGTATAAGTACAATGTTTTGTCAGTTATTAACAAACCGTCAGGGTTTATTAATTAACAAAGTATACATTATTTTATAAAAAGTTACAAGAAGTAAACCTTCCCCTCAAATTACCAGATATTTTTTTAAATAATAAAGAAATAAAACAGGAAGACTCTATAAAGTTTTTAGGGATACTTATTGACAAGCACTTATCTTGGCTTCCCCATATTAAATATTTACAATCAAAAGTTAGTAAAACGATCGGCATGATGTACCGAGTTCGTCCTTACGTTAATAGTATATGTTTTAAATTAATTTATT